CTCTTTGATCTTCCCATTATCTTCTGTTCCCCACTTATTCATGATCTCCTTCTTGGTGCGATCTACTTCTTTGCGACTTGGTGAAGCTATCATCATGTCATTGATGTATGCTGTGATGACTGTGATGTTGTCTCCAGTTCCTCTTGCATACAAGCAAGGTGTGCTTGGCATACAATGAAAACCCATCCTCCGAAGGTGTGAGTCCATCTCGGTGTTCCACTCTTGCCCTGACTGTTTTAAACCATATAATCCCTTTATTAGCTTGAGAACCTTTCCTGGTGGCATCTTTGTTCTGACTGGTGGCTTCAGGTACATGTTGTGCTGTAAGTTTGAATTGAGGTATGCTTGTTTGACATCAATTGAATCTACCTCCCAATCTTGCATGGCTGCCACAGCCAACACTCCTCTGATTGATTGAATCAGCACCACTGGCACAAAGATTTCGGTATAGTCAACACCTTTTCTCTGAGTGAATCCCCTTGCAATGAGTCTTGCTTTAAACTTTGTGGGCACCAAGTTTGCATCCATTTTCACTTTGAGTACCCATTTGGTGTCGACAGTGTTCATGCCGATTGGGAGATCTGTCACTTCCCATGTGCCCATAGCTTCTAAACCCTCGAGCTCTTTTTGCATTGCCTCCTCCCACAGCCTTTTGTCTGGCCCTGCCATTGCCTCTCAGATGGTTGGGTTTAGGTTTCCTTCGCCTTTGTTGTCTGTGGCTGCGAGTCCGAAGGACTCACCATTTGTCCACCCTTCAAGGTCTTGGCCTTCATTTGTGTTCATAGTCATTTCCATGTCCATGTACTCATTTTGTGGTTCCTGGTCCAATTCATCAAATAGGTTCACTTCCGAATAACCCAAGTTTTCAGCATCTTCTTTGTTCGTCATTGTTTGCAGTGATTGAACTTTTATCAGTTTCCACTCAGTCTGGTCCAACCAGCATTTGGATTCCATGAACTTCACCAAGTTACTCCAGAATAAACTTGGTCGATAGTCTGGACTATAAAATAGCCAACCTTTCTGTTCCAGGCTGTATCCTATGAATATAGCTGCCACTGCTCATTGGTCCAAGTTCTTGTTGTTTCACTTTGCCTTTGGGATGTTTACCCAAGCGAGACATCCAAAGACATGGAGAAGCTGCATGAGTCATTTGGGTGATTTGTTGAACATCATCTTGTATGGGAGCTCATTGTTGGCATTTGGAGTAAGGTTTATCTTGAATGCTGCTGCCCTGATTGCATATGGCCAAAAGATCTTTGGTAGTCCACATTGTACCAGTAAAGTATGCATCTTCTCACTCAAGCTTCTGTTCATTCGCTCCACCCTGCTGTTGTATCCCACTGTTGTTTGCCACTCTATTCCTTTGTCCTGTGACCATTCAAGAGCTTCGTTGCTCCTCCACTCTGTTCCTTGGTCCGATCGGATTGCTCTTAGGCTCCTGTTGGTCTGTGTCTCAAGGAATGAGATGATTCTTCTGAGCTCTGTGAAAGCTTGGCTCTTTTGCAATAATGGTTGTGCATAAACATATTTGCTATGATCGTCGATGAGCACCAATATGCAGGTGTGTTTGGTCACATGTGATGCATCAATGATCAGATCTATATGCACGAGGTCAAGGGGTGCAGCAGCTCTCTTGCCACTGCCTTGTTTCATTCTTGCAGCCATACTTTTGGACTGTATACACTGCTTGCATGTCAGAGCTGTATCTGGGTCTATATCCATTTGGGTGGTACTTCCCATCTTCTTTATAATAGACTTAGCCTTATCTCTTCCTGGATGTCCAAGGCGCTCATGCCAAAGTTGTTGTATGGAGATGGTGGTCCTCTTTGTGGTTGGTTCAAACTCTTCATCAACATCATTGAGTGGCTGTGCTGATGTGGTCATTGTGTTTTCCTTCCATGCCTCACTTCGTAACTCTAGCAAGCCTCACTCTCTGTTCTTCGAAACTTTGAATGAGATTCCATTTGCCATGTGTATCTGTCCACCAGCATGGTCCAAAGTCACTCGTGCTCCCTCGTCTGTTAATGAGTTGGTTGACAATAGATTCACATTGAGATTCTTAACATACAAGATGTTCTGGAGTAATGTTTCTCCATGTGCGGTTGATATGTAGAGATCTCCTATAGTGCTTGCATCCAGAACCTCCTTTCCAGCCATGTAGATGCATTTTCGGCAGGTTCTTGGGTTTATGAGTGTGCTATAGTCATTGGTCATGTGAAAGCTAGCTCCTGAATCCAGTATCCAACGGGTTGTTTCTTCTGGGTTCTTCTTCCAACTTGGGGTGAGGGAGCACCAAGCATCCTATTTGGAGTTGGTGAGCAGTGAATCTTTGGGAATGGTGATGGTGGCATCGCATTTGCCTGCACCATGACTGACTCGCCTGCACACAAAACACCGGATTCTTCAGCGTCTGTATCCAGTCTTGGCAGTTTTGTTGTCATCATCGTCATCAGTTTCATGGGCTGATTCACCCTGGTCACCATCGCCTGCTGTCCTAGCATGACCTTGCCAGGGATCGAGCTTCTGGGTGGGAATGCTCTCTAATGCCGATTGACATATGCTAAGTGCCGTGGCCAGTGCTTCAAAGTTGAGTTGGTGGATGGTGGCAACCGTCTCCCTGAACATTGGGTGGTGAATCATGCATTTCTGGAGAGCAGAGAAGAGAGTATCATCTGCAAATGGTCTTCCCAGGATGCTTCCTTTGGCCTGGATGGTCCTGATTTCCTGTATGAGTTTCCGAATGTTGGAATTGAACATCTTGATATCACCCAGCTGAGTGATCAGAGCGAGCCGGCGAGAGGTTCTGGTGGTGTTGTCGCCTAACCTTGCTTCTATCTTGCTCCAGACTTGATGAAATGTTAGGTACTCTCTTATTATGTCCAAAAGAAGATAGTTTACATTGTATTCTCCCATGGTGTTGATGGTCCCTCGTAGGGCATTTGTTAATGCGTCATCAAATGAGCGACTCCATCTGGGATGGTTTGCATCAAATGTTCCTTCGAGGTGTTCCATAGCGTATGGTACCGATTGGAGGAAAGACTTTACATGTGCATTCCAGCTATAGTAGTTCTGGGTGGTGAGCTTCAGCACCAGTTCAAGGAGTTTGCTTAATGTACAGAAGCTGTATCATTTGCCATCATCATCATCATCCGATTTGTCTTTGGGGTCATCGTCAATCTCATTGTCATCATTTGCTGTTTGTGTCTGCTGGACAATTGTCACCTTCTTGGTTCTTTTAGACCTCTTGGCAGCTTTGCTGGCCCCAGCTTGAGGGTCAGTGTTGTCTACCATGGTTTGCTTTGGTAGAGGTTTCAGACTTTTAATCAGTTGAAGCTATACCATGCACCTCCTCGTCTGAGCCACATTCTAGCTCTTTCATACTAGTGTGTCATAGATGTAATGCTTAAGATTTTATTGTGCACTATTGCTACAGGGTTGTGTATATATACCTTCATCCTGTTAATGAGATGGCTTGTTGTTCTCCTTCGAGTCATGCCCACTTTGTAGTATCTCGGCGTTTTCCTTTCATATGCTTCTCCTGATTGGTCGCCACTCAACTTAGTATGCATGCAGGGGATCGGTCTGTCAGTTACTCGCTTCTCTCGCATATTGGTTATCCCGGTGACTCTTCAACTTCAAGGCAAAGGATGTCTGTTCCTGAAATGAAGCGGACGAGGTTTGGATGCTACCTTACAGCTGCTTTTGGCGCGATCACTTCGAGTTCTGAGATCAGCCAATTGTTACACGACTTGGTGCGTTTGTAGTCTCTCATCGGCCCTTGTCTGAACCGGAATAGCCGGCTCTTCTTCTAGCGCTTTTACAATACTACTCCCACGTCGCCATTCCCGCGAAACAAGAGGATTGCCGAGTCCGAGTGCCAAAAGCATTCTCGCAAATCTCTCCTTCTGGTCGCACCTTCAATTTGAGCTTCTTCCCATCTTGTTCTTCTTCCCCTCCCCGCTCAACTGCTACTCCTCCGCCTGCATACCTCCTCCAGAACCTCGCGCCAAAATCTCCGTACCGCTCCTTGGCGTTGAGGTATGAGATTTCCGTTCCCCTTGTACTACGCTTCCATCTTGACCGCTTGGCCCTTAGCCCGTCCTTTCCGGTGCTGTGACTCTGCATGTGTTCGGTCTTCTTGAAGTTGATCTCCATAACATACAAGTGGGTTGATCTCGACTACCATGTGTCAGCGTCAGGAACAGACACAACAATCAAGCGCACGCCACCTTTTTGACTGTCCAACCAGATTCAAGCTCCTTTCCGGCAATCTGTCCAACGTCCAACGGAGAATCAAATCTATATACTCACAACGTAGTGTGTCAAATTCATGCGTCTCTCTCTCTCTCGCTCCCTCTCCTCTCTCTCTGTGTCTATCGCTCTGCATTGCTTTGCTCCCGTTCTTGCACTGTCCAACCAGATGCCTTTCGTGTTGAGTGTTGTCCCTGTTGAAACGCCAATAATACCGACCGTAAGGGGAATTGCAGCCGCCGCTTTCCATCACTACTCTCCCTCTCCTCTTTGTCTGTGTCTGTGTAACTCGATCACGTCGACTGTGCGTCTCGCTTGCACCTGATGTGTCTCCCTTCAACTCGGTTGAGCTCAGTCCGTTTCTCAGGCATCACTTGCGTGGGGTTGCTCCTTTCGACAATCGACTCCTCGCCAATCCGCCTGCTTTGCTCACATCGTTCCACAACCCCGCACCAAGACCATGTGCATCTTGCGGGCCCCCACTTTCTTAGCCCATTCTAGTCTGCACTATCATGCCAATGACAAGCACGACATCAATATCCATATAATAACTTGAGCTGTCCGTTCTTCTCCCCTCCATTCCCCCATCCCTCGTAGTAGTCTCTTCAACACAATAGTCTCTTCGACGCAAGGCCTCCCCTTTCGATTCGTCGCGTCAAGATCCTGGACTCTGGACCTTCTCATCCCCTCTCCGGACACGGCTTCGAACCCCACCATCCTCGCTATAGGACGACGTCACTCGAGACATTATGGCGCTTCCCCCTAAGCTTTACACATGGCTTTGCGGCTGCTTTGCAGCCCTTGGTTCCATACTTTTCGGTTACGACTTAGGCGTCATCGCTGGAGTCATTGTCTCCCCTGACTTTCTGCGCGTCACCAACAACCCTAGCGCAGATTACATTGGCTTCATTGTCAGTTCCATGTTGCTTGGCGCCTTTGTCGGTTGTATCCCTGCCTCCCTCATTGCCGATGCTTTCTCCCGTCGTTTCGCTATCATGGTTGGTGCCATCATCTTCATCCTCGGTGGTATCCTCCAGACCGCTGCTGCTAACCAAGGGATGATGATGGCTGGTCGATTCTTCGCCGGCGTTGGTATCGGTATGCTCTCGCTTCTCGCTCCCCTATACCAGTCCGAGATCGCCCATCCTTCCATCCGAGGCAGACTCACCACTCTCCAGCAATTCTTCCTCGGTATCGGCGCTCTGATTGCCAGTTTCGTCGTTTACGGCTGCAGCATCCACCAGGCCGGCACCGTCTTTGAGTGGCGATTCCCCCTCGGTCTCCAGATCGCCCCTGCCGTTCCCCTTGCTTTCCTCATCATGCTCTTCCCCGAGTCGCCTCGATGGCTCATGACCAAGGGTCGCGAGGAGGACGCTCTCCGCTCGCTTGCTCGCCTCCATGCCCGTGGTGACACCTCCGATGTCTTCGTTCGTGCCGAGCTTGCCGAGATCAAGGCTCAGCTTGCCGTTGAGAAGGGAACCGCTAGTGGTTGGAGCGAGATCTTCAGCAGCAGGCAGAACATCCGCAAGGTCGCCATCGGTGTTATCCTTCAGTTCTCAGTCCAAATCACCGGTGTCGCTGCTATCCAGTACTACGCTCCCGACATCTTCAAGGTCTTTGGCTACAGCAACTCACGTATCTTTTTGCTCCAGAGTATCAACTCGATCATTGCCCTCATAGGTGAAGCTGCTTGCGTCCTCTTTGTCGACAAGCTCGGTCGTCGATGGCCCCTCATCGTCTGCAACTCCATGGCTGGTGCCTGTTTCTCCGTCGCCACCGCTCTTCAAGCTGTCTACCCCGCCGCCGGTCCTAACCCCAACAAGCATGCCGGTGGTGCTTTCATCGCCATGATCTGGATCTTTAACTTCTTTTTCTCGGCCGGAATTGGACCTCTTTCGTGGGCAGTGCCAGGTAAGCAACCCAATCTCGGGGACCAATGGCCCACATGAAGATGATGTTGAGAAAGCACGGGTCGATTTTGGACATCCTTCGGCCAATATCGGTCCTGCTGAATCGACATCGCTTTGATTTAAGAAGCATTCGCTGACTCTCACTCTCGTTCCTCTCTCTATGACTTCTTTGTTTACAGTCGAAATCATGAACACTTCGATCCGAGCCAAGGGCACCGCTCTCACAAGTATCAGCTGCTGGGTTGCAAATTTCATGATTGGCCAGGTCACCCCCAAGGCTCTTGCAAGCATTGGCTGGAAGTACTACCTTCTCTTCGCGATCGGTGGTTTCACCAACGCCCTCACCTTCTACCTCATCCTTCCCGAGACCAAGGGACGAACACTCGAGGAGATGGACGCCTTCTTCGAGAGGACGCCTTTCATTGTTGCTTTCACCGACATGACCATCTCTGACAAGGAGCGCGAGGAGCAGCTTCGAAGAGGTGTTATCCATGCTCCTCAGGGCGAGTTCCTCGAGACTGGAAGCCATGAAGACAAGTACGATGGCCTCAAGACCAGCAGCCACGACCACGACGTTGAGAAGCACTGAGCACTAACTGTCACCGGCCAATTCTCGTCGTGTCAAGCTGTCAATTTTTCTTCTCTTTCTCAACCCATACCCCTTGCTTCACTCAGAACCCACTTTGTCACGTCTGCAATACTTGTATCAACTACTGCTTGCACATTTAAGTCTGGTCAATGGATCGTACATCGCATCTGACAGCTTGTTTGCAACCTAGTGCGTGCTTGTGTGATATCAGATGCGGTCTGAGATCACTTAGCGTTGTGAATGGATCAGGCACCCTTCCAGCGCGAGAATTCCACGTCGATTTCTTCATGCTGACGAGCTATCTTGAGAGAGAGCAAAGACCCCGTGGGCAAGCGAGACGCTTCACATATGAGAAACCCGACAAGTTGCCCGGCTTCATCATGCCAAGTTTCTGACCCCAACGTGCAGGTCTGAAGACGGGCGGTTGAGCTCAAAACAGGCCGCCACACATACCAAGGCTGTACTTCGCGGTTGAACGATGGAAGCGTGAAAGGCGCAATAAGAACGGAAGCGCAAGGTGGGACTGGCCGATGGTTTGCCGACACGGGCAATTGACTTAGGCCTCTTCATTGTTCTCCGCGGAAGGCAGTTGTCCGTACAAAACGTCGTCTGGAAGCCTGCATACAAGCTCGAAACGAACGACGACTGGGAAGAGAGAGAATTGCGAGCGAAGGCTCAACCTTCCTCCGCAGTTCTACACAACCCCGCATCCACGCTTCGGACGCAGTACACTGTAGTGTCTTCTGGTGACAGGCCCAAGGCTGCATCGAGATTTGCGTGCGAGGCAGTAGAGCTAGATTGCCGGACAATTGTCAAAGAAGCGAGTCGTGAGTTGCCTTCACTTACGCTCCCCCCTCACATCTTCCATTGTTTGCGTGAACCTTCTTCACACAGTGCAGACCACATATCCTCTTTGAGATACCCCTTCTGCCTCCATCACTGCGATTAACCCTTCCGGCAATCTTTGAAGTGTGTTCACCAACAGGTACTTCACGCTTAACTTTCAGCGATTGCCTCTTGAAGCTCCGCTGTCTCAGTTGTCGATCTCGCCAGCCGCCTGTCATGTTCTGCTCGCAAGAGACGGAAATTGCGGGGCTCCTCGTTTCTGTGATACGGTACTTCAGGTCCGTCAGTTTATAGATAGATCCTGCAAGACCCTCACTTGGCCTTCCGCTTCATGCGGACTGAGCAAATCTTTCAGCTCGTTTGTGCGTCGTAGAGGTGTGATCCGACCGGGACAATTGACATCAAGGTCTCCAGACATGGACAGAACGGCTACAAGCTCGGTCTTTCTCCACTTCTCAGCATGCTTGCCTTTCCAACGGATCAGCACTTAGACTTGTTCGATCAGGAGCATCGTTGTTGCCTCGAGAAAGAGAGATTTCCTTCATACCCAGCCACCTCGAATCGAATCGAAAGGTAGCCGGCGATGTGTTGCAGATGTGTGCATTCGCAAAGTCGGAGGTGTAACTTTGTTTGATGCCTCACAACCATCGTACTAGACAGCCGAACGTGTGCGCACCGACGTTGGGGTGCGGCATCACCATGGAGCTTCGCTAGCCGCTCTTTTGCTTGATGCCTCGTGGCTGCTCGGAATCCTACTCTCCGTGGTAGTGCTATAGGCTGAGAGTCTAGCGTTCCTGATTCCCATCATACCACATCAACAAAGCCGTGCAGCACCGCAAAGTAGGTTTCCTCTCCGTTGACACACACGGCCCCTGCGAGCCAGGATCAAATCTATATATGGTCAGATCCACTCCTCTTCTCGAAAACTTCGAACTCCATCAAATCCCCAAGCGGCGACACTGTTCGTCAATCTTGCTCTCCATCCTTCAGCATTCTCTATCCTTTGTCCCTTATCTCTAACATGCGTTTCTTCGCTAAAGCTCTTGGGCTGGTTTCCTTGGCGCTGTCCATGGCGAGTGCCTCTTCACTTCAAAAGCGAGACTTGGGCCCCGTCACCATCTACACGCCTGGAAGCAACTACACCAGTGATCGCTCGCTTTATGCTCGAACCCTCATGCTCACAGTCAACGACGTAAGTCTCCTTCATCAGATCGGGATCGCCAGCGAGCAGCTTGACTGACAATTTGCCTTCTCCTTTGCCGAACCTCACTTCATCTGTGCTTTCCTCCCTACAGAACACAGGAACACTACTAAGCACGTGGGAGAACTACTCTGGCGGCAAAACTTGGTTCCCCATCTATCGATCGACTGACCACGGCTACACGTGGTCTCCCTTCTCGACCGTAACGGACCAGGTCAACAACTGGGGTCTTCGATACCAGCCTTTCCTCTACGAGCTCAAGCAAAGCTTTGCTGGCTACTCTGCTGGATCGATCCTTCTCGCCGGTAACTCGATCCCTGAGGACCTTTCCAAGACTCAGCTCGACCTCTACATCAGCACTGACAAAGGGTAAGTTAATCTCTTGAACTTATCTATCGCAAAGAACACACAGATACTAACGACATCCGCAATGAACTTATCGTATCGCTGTTCCGCCTTTCCAGAAAGACGTGGAAGTTCCTCTCACACATTGCTGCTGGTGGCAAGGCTGTTCCCAACAACGGCGAGACTCCTGTCTGGGAGCCTTTCCTTCTCGTCAACAACGGTCAGCTCATTTGCTATTACTCTGACCAGCGTGACCCAAGGTACGGCCAGAAGTTGGTCCATCAGACCACCAAGGATCTCAAGAACTGGGGCAGCGTTGTTGATGATGTCACCGAGTCGTTCTATGCTGCTCGTCCCGGTATGCCCATCGTTGCTCAGATGGGCAACGGAAACTACATCATGACTTACGAGAACGGAGGAGCCCCTGAAGGTGACTTTGCCGTCTACTACAAGATTTCAAACGACCCCTTCAGCTGGGCCGACAAGCCGAAGCAGGTTCTCAGGGCTACTGATGGCACTGTTCCTCGCTCGAGCCCTTATGTCATGTGGACTCCCATCGGCTCTTCGTCTGGGACTACCGCTAACGGTACCGTCGTCGTCAGTGCTTACACCGACACTGGCCTCTACCTCAACCGTGCCAATGGTGCCCCAAATGCTTGGACTCGTCTTTCCGTTTCCAATGCGCCAGCTGCCTACTCACGTGAGGTGACCCGCGGATTCAACCCGAAAGACATCGTCATCGCTGGGGGTGGCGCTCTAGGTCAGGGATCTACCAACCGTGTCACCTTCAGCGCCCGAGACGTCAACGGATGTGCCACTTGCTAAGCACCTGCGCCAGCAGGGCTGCGTGACGCACATGCACAAATCTTGCAGGAAGTGACAGAGATGTCGTCGGAAATTGTTAAAGTAAGTGCGTCGAGTATCGTTGATCACAAGTATTGATTGTGATAATGTTTATGAGCTAAGTACAGGGTGATTCGAAAAAATATATATATATGTCTTCTAGCGTTCCATGTATGCATATGTGATACGAGGATAATGAGGCTGAAACGTGCTGGTGAAGCCATGGAGAAACTATGCCGGCTATTCACTAGCCGGCATGCCGTTGCCCGATAGTCGACCCCGGTAATGTGATATATACCCGAGTGAGCAAAGTTGGCGCCAAGGATCGGAGTAGAAGCCGCATGCTCGGAGTAGAAGCTAAATGCTTTCACTGAAATGGACGGAATATGCATCACGTGATCGTCAAAGAATGGCGGGCGCGGCTGGGCTGGACTCAACAATCGAATTGTTCCGCTTCTCCGCTCCGCTATTCACAACATCATTCCGCTCTCCGCTTCTCTCTTCACTACCATCATCTTCACCAAAGCAAGGCGTATTATTAGCAGCCTGGTTCGTCGTCTTCGAGGCCCTCACGGGCCTTTGGCTGCAATCCACTTAGTTTTCGTGTTATGTATATACAATTTTGGTTACGTTTCGTGCGATTGAGTCCAGACAGGACATGCATTGTTCTGAATAGCAACTGGTACAAATACATTTTACGATGATACGAGCATACGTTTGTAGCGTCTAAGAAGATGAGAAGATGCGAGAGTTCGAGAAAAGAGAGCGATACCCAAAAAGAATATGTGCTGTGAAAACATCCTCGCCGAGAAGATGTCATTTAGAAAGAAGCAAGCCCGAGACCTGCTCCGTGGTTAGCCATCATGCCAACGCCGAAGAAGACACCAAACAGGTCTGCTCCGAGCCATCTGCGACGTTCAGGGGCTGTGATGGAGTCAGGTGCATCAGAACCAATTACGCCATCACGCTGATCCCTCGATGAGCGGCCCCGGACTTTTTCGTAACTTGACTTTACAAACCACGACAGGTTGGCGGCAAACGATGAAAAATCGATGTGACCCAGCTGATCGAAGCGCTTGCTGCACAGATAGATGAGCTCTTGCGCGGCGCGAGCAGGCTCGGCGTCGTGGAAGTCAACGAGCTGCGCCGAGACTACTGCAGCCTGGCTGAAACGTCGGAGTAGGTAGCCGGGAGCGTAGAGCAATGCATCGCTGATCTCGGGATCAGTGAAGATGTCCATCAACACCTGGCAAGCTTGGCGGATATCGTGTCTATAAGCTGCTACGAACCTGGCAGATTCCTCTTCATACCTTGAATCGTAGCCGGGACCACGTTCCGCGCCATGCGCCTTGGATGGGCCACCAATCTCGGCCGACTTGAGTGCGACCGCAGCGAGATAGGTCTGCAGCGTCCAACGGTCGACAAGTCCAACGATACGCTCAAGTCTGCTACAGTCGGTCTCCGAAGCAAGCCAGCGCTTCTCCACATCAAACAGCTGAGACTGAAGATATTTGAATCGGTCCCAGTCGTGCGTGAGGTTGGGTCTGGCAGCCGGGGGAGGCAGATCGATTCGCGCCAGAGGTGAGTTCGAGGAGACTTGGCCAAGCCACATCTGCAACTCCTTGATGACTGGCATGGCTCGAACGAGGTATGGCGTTGGGATCGAGCTTCGTGACTGACGCGGCACTTTGGACATGACGAGATCGTGGTCGGTCAAATCCATCCCTTTGCCCGAGTCGATGGCGGCAATCGATTCGAAAGCCTTGAGCGAGGCCCAGAGGGCTGGCAAGCGATGTGAGAGATTCGACGCGGCTCGATGACCACTGATGGCACCGAGTTGAGCTTGCTGTGCCACGCTCTGCAAGAGATTGGCTGCATAACCGGTCAGGAGCTTTTCATCAGGAGAGCCAGGGAAAGCTTGGGGCCAATATGCAATCAAGAGGATGGCCTGGACAGTTCCAAGTGTGGGTTCAGGATGCAAGAGCTGGGAGCCTAGCTGATTGAGAGCATAGGATGCCAAACTTGCATGGATCTCGGATCGTATGGCGATCTCACCTTTCCCATGCGAATCCTGGTATAGCGATCCGATGGTGAGAAGCACAGAGAGCAAGAAAGGCTCGGATGCGGCGAGAGATTGGATGCTAATCTTGTCATCGAACTCGAGGAAGGGCGCAAAGACGTGACAGTAGGTGAGGAAGACTTCGAGAAGCGTCTGAGCCATTTCGAGCGTGATAAAGCCTGCCTCAATGGGGTTGTTGGCGGCGGTGAAGTGCCGACTACCGTTGCTGTACGGTCGACTGGAGACGGGAGCGGCAGCGTCAGTGGAAGTTCTAGCAATGGCTGAACGTTCGTCGACGGCACTGAGGCCGTCGCGACTGCTTCTTCCGTCCTGTTGCGAAGGAGTCTGGAGAGGAACGCTGGCCTCAGAAGCGCCGTCCTGAAGCTCGTCTACTTCGGCATCCGAGTCGACAGGGGAATCGGCCCTTAGGCGCTTGCGCTCCGGCTTCTGAGGCGATGCGGCGGACCAAGCTGAAGAGGATCTTGCTGAGGAGTTGACGCCATTACGGTCATAAGAGATAGTGTGGCCCTCTATCCTCTCAAGAAGACGAGAGACGGTACGCTCGAGGTTGTCAATGCGTCGCACAGCATCGGGCAGGGAGTATCTGAAGCGATCTGATGGATGACGAAGGTCGGGATGGTGAGCATCGGCCTGTGTGTGGTTTGCGTTGCGAGGGCGTTCCCCAAAAGCGGAGTCATTGTGAGTCGAAGAACAGGGAGGCAGCGCCGTAACAAGGGAGGGGAGACCGCTGGCGGTGAGCTGGACGGAGGCCTGAGACGGGGCACGGTTGGAGGCGGAAGAAGCGTAGGAAGCTGTGTTGGCTTTGTGGTCGCGATCGTCATGGTTGACTCTGTTGGAGGCGGGAGTGCCTGCGTTGGCTTCCGAAGGCTCTTTGCAGACGAGTTTGAGCTTGAGACAGCGTGCGCAGGGGAAAACGCCGTCACATTTGAGCTTCTGACCGCGGCAGCGAATGCAAGCCCGTTGAGATCGTTTGCGCTTCTTTGCCTCAGGCTCTGCGTCTTTGTTATTGATGGGCTGGTCTGCTCCCTCTTTGGACTCGGAGAGAGCCATCTTGTCGTCGGGAGAGGCAGAGAGGCCCTGGTTCGGTGGTGTGCCGGGAGGGCTCGGAGCACCTGCAGAATTGTCAAGGTTGCTGAGGACAGAGCCTTTGTGCGGAGGTTTGGCGTCAGACATGTGGGAAAGTGGATGTGTGTGTTGTACTTAAGAAGGGCAAAGTTGGGAGGACATAAGCACGCTAGCGAGGGAGACAGCTGTATTAGATGTACTTGGCGTCGTCAGGTGATACGAAAGCGTAGTATGAAAGCAAATCGAGCAAGTAGATCGGAATGCGCGTGGCTTGTGCTTCAATCCTGATCTGAGGGTGATCAGGGGCAAGCGCAGTGACGGGCATGTATGGTTCAAGATGACCTCATCGATGGTTGATGATTGACGGAGAGTGAATCAACAAGCTACAGAGCGTGCGATGCAAGTGGTGCAAAGACAAGGTGTGCACAAGAGGCTACGAGGTTGTGGTACGGCAACAGCGTCGAAGCAAGTAATGGCGAAACGAATGCGCGAGAGGAACTGGATCGAGATGGAAATCAGATAGCAGAGCAGGTCGCAGATGCAAGTCGTGGAGACCAATCGCAGAGACAGATGGTGGTGATAGTAATGGTGGAGGTTGTGGTGATAGTAATGGTGGAGGTTGTGGTGATAGTAATGGTGGTGGAGGTGAGGCAAGGATGGCGAGAGTCGATGTAGGAGCAAGGTGGCTTGCAGAGGTGGGTGTGATTCGGATAGAACGGAACCGGGGCCACGGACACTACGGCAGCTAAGGCGACCAAAGTCAGCAAGTCGGGGAAAGAAGGCGGTCAAAGGGCAAAATCGGTGCGAGAGAGGCTTGATGACATTGCGAGAGAGGCTTGGTGACATTGCGAGATTGTCTCGGAGTCCATGAAAGTAAGGGAATTGAATAAATGCATTGCCAGGACAGAGGCAAGACCTAGGACATGAAAGCTAGCATGACAGAGCAAGCAAGCCGAGTGATAGAACAAATGGCTGGAGAAATGAGGAAGTGAGTGTTTGAATTACGAGAGGGATCGAGTTGAAGCGGCTGTGCGGTTCGGTAGTACAGGAAAGAATTGCGGGTTTGGCTAAAAGGATCTACGGATGGCCGGACTTTCTTCTGTTCGGCAGCCACAATCACCACCATGCGGGCTGACGAGATTTGAAGCGACACCCGGAAACAGGCCTTTGATGGAGCGGGGGACCAGCCAAAAAAAACAAAAGCCCTCACCTGCCCTCACCTGGAGAGGATATAGAATGCAATGCCTCTGCAGCTTACGGAGCTGAAAATATCTTGTTCATTTCGCAGGGGAAAAAAGCTCCGATCTCATAACATTGCGTCTGTAACAATGAAACAGCAAAGACAGCGGCACGGAGAGCAAAAGCACAAAAGTGCAAAAGCCGATAGGATGAGGCAAAGTGAAGGTTTCATAACCACAACCACAACCACAACTACAAACACAACCTCAATCTCAATCTCAATCTCAAAATCTCATTCGGCTTTTTATTTGTGTCAGCGAGACAGGGAGGTAACGGTAGCGGTGAGAGAGGTGCGATGCGTTGCGATTGTCGAGCTGAACGCTTTCTTCCCGAGTCTTGTTCTAATTGACCGAACAAGCCAAGCGACAGGGAAGAAGTTGTGGCAAACTCATGCGAACAGGATCATGTCACCCAGGATCGAAAACCGGTCAGTCGGTCCCTTGAAGCCTGTAAAGCGAATGCTGGCGTACGACTTAGCTAAGCGAGGCCACAAATTAGGGATCCACTGAGACCGGCGTTGTAGGCAGCCAAACGATCGGACCGAATGCACAGCTGTGCTCGAAAGATGTGAATCTGACTGTGTCTGACTGTGGCAGAGATGTATGCCGTTGCTGCTCGCTTTGATTCTTTGAGTCTGATGTCGCCCACGCGAACCTCTATCAAGGTTTTTCACAAATGGTTGTCCAGGCAAACAGAGAAGCCGATGGTGAGGAGCGCAGACAGACACGTCAACAGCGTGGTGTCGATGTCAGGCCGAAGCCTTGGTCGTGGTTGTCGCAGGAAGGCGTCTCGAATGGTAAGCGAGGTGCGGGCGAGGAATCGTCAAATATGATCTGTGCCGGTCAACCGCCAGCGACTTCCTTTCGGAAGGCATTCGAGATCGGGGTCGGGAGCACAACGGTTCCAAATCGTGTAGAAATTTTACCTTGATCCGAACCTCCCTCTGCCAGCTTGGTGGGATTTTTGCACAGTCGCCGATTGTAGATGAAGCACACGCCGCCAAGACAAGCTCGCTGCTGTAGAGCCTCTTGCTATCAGAGCTCACGGGATGGATGGCTTCTCAACACGGTTTCAGCATGTAGGCTTTCAATCGTCCATGGTCGCCGCCTGAGCTTGGCACGAATGGAACCCTAGGCAGACAGCATTGAATGGGCCGCTACGACTATCTCGGCAACTTCACTGCCGATCACAACACGCACATATTTTCTCATCGGCACAGCGGACAAAAATTTCTTGGTCTTGCAAACGAGACCCAAGTTGATCAAGTATGCTTGCCGAACGCACCGACAAACTCGGGTTGTTAGATACCTTTCTCGCTTCGGAATCCGATCGAGACAGTTTACAGATACGATGTGGGACGTGCCGCTCTTCGTCTGTCGTTCCCTTCTCTATAAAGGACGGGTGTTATGGCAAGGCAGAAAGAACCAGGCGTCGGCCTGTAAAGTTCAAAGTCCGCTCCATTGTATGACCAAGGCGGTCGCCGGATTCAAGCACCGAACAAGCAAGCAACAATCGAAAAAAGTGAGGTGAAAACTTGGATGTCTTTGTTAAAAGCTGCAGCTCGACAGCCAGCCGAGTTCAGAAACGAGAAAATGTTGCTAAAAAAAAAAAGGTAGCCGCTTCAAGGCTTGCAGCAAACCTTGTTCGCCCAGCACTCCTCGACTCTCTTGCCCGAACCAGGCTTGTACTTGACAGTCAGCATCCTTCACAGCTGCAGCTGCACCTGCATGGCTAAACGAAACGCAACAGTCCGCACCGTCTTTGCGGAATTTGCTTCACTGGGTTGAGAAGGGGTTCCTTGCCTGAACCTCCGCAGATACGTGTCTTTTCCTTTGCGCCGAGTGTGACAAGCAACTGTCTCGGCGTAACCTGCTCTTGATGAAAGCAATCCCGCTTATGTGAGCATCACCACCACTTGCATACCAAGCCTCTGCCGACTGCATCTATTCTTTCTTAGCCGTGATTGGTGGGAAACTGACGTTCTCATATAATCCTGGGCCCGACGCTAGAATCGGCTGCAAGAATCTCCTGTGGATTGCACCAATCACCATACAAGTGTAGAAGCAAGATTGAAAATTCTCTGATCGGCATTTCTAGTTCTGCATACAGCATCGTCAAGTTGGCAGATAGGGACGGCACCGATCTTTTCAGTCTCCGGATCTTCTGACCTGTTCCATCTATCTCTCCTCGCTCTTTCATCTGGAGCCTAAGCGACGGAGTGCTAGCATCTAATGAACATCGTGTCAGAGCGGAAGAACTCTGTCTGATTTACTATGGCCTTCTAATGATAAAAGATTAAAAGAAGGACGGGTGTCGACACTCAGCGGCCGACGACAGTCAGAGCACAGTGTTCAAGCTATTCAGCAGAAACACTATACTATATTGACCTAAAAGAACAAGGTGAGAGCCTAGAGCTCTCAGCTCAATATATATACATCTTCGTGGCACATGCCGAATGTGGGAGTATCCTACTCAATGATGAAGCGTGACAACTAGCGGGACTAAGTTGTATCCGATCTCTGATCAGATCGGCCTTTTCCCGCTCTCCGATCGGATCGGCCTTACCCGGTTTCTTCCGTATCAGCTTACGTCAACTTGCATCATCATATTGGATCGTTACCTTCAGCATCTAAGACCATCGTTTAGTAACCATAGCAATCACTGGTCACATCAAAGTCGGACACAAGGTGAGCTGCGGTATGAATACGTTATCAGTGGTTGCACGAGGGCAGTGTATCTGCTGTCTCCTAATAATAGGGTTAGAAACGCCAACTGCCCTCAGATTCTTGATGGCGAGATCGAGCATCATTTGCGTCGCCTGTGCGATGTCCCCATCGGTGGCATAGACCGTCAACTTGCTCAGCAAGCCCGGCAGCTGAAAGACTGGTGCCAACTCTGGAGTGACATTGTCCAGCCCGCGGTTTGATATGCCAATATAATTCACAGCAAAAGCCACGGCCACCGCCTGGCCAGCTCGGATCATCCGACGCCTCGAGACGTGGTAGCGCCGCCCCTTTTCCAAGTAAATATCGATCAAGCAGTGCCTTGCATTCTGGTTTGCTCTGGTGGCCAATCTCGGTGCCACATGGACAATTCCAGCACCTACCTGCACTCCTATGAACGAGATGACGGCGTTTCGCGCTTTCTCGGCCAACGCATTTGCGAGAACAGCTTGATTGGTGTCATAGGCTTGGAGAAGTGCAGGATAGTTGGTGACAGTGAACTGGCACTGAACTTTCCAAGCATCCATGTTCACAGATATTGCAGAGGCCTACAAGTAGGCAACTAGCGCCAGAAGAGGCAGAATTCAGAACATCATCATTCTTAGTCCAAGGACTGAGCCTCGAAGTCAGTGGTAATCACTTGTTGGTCTTGAGGGTGGTATGTCAGGCGACACAGGTCGTCCGAGATTCTCTTGATCGTGAAATCGAAAACAGCCCAGTCCTTTTGTGTCTGGTTTCCGCCTGCGTCGTTGTAGATGGTCAAGGTCATTCCTCCCAAGTTGAGTTGATGCTGCAGCAAACAATGTCTGAGCTCGGTGTTGATTGCCAAGATACTGATACTTTCAACCAGATATTCCACTGCCGCTGGAGTGAACACCCCTTGTGGTAGATGTTGAAAGATATGTCGCCTTGCGTAACTATGGTTTGGACAAGCTGGTTTTAGGTTCATAGACAAAAACAAGGAGAGGTAATATTGCAAACTATCTACAGTGACAGATGCAACTATTTAAGTGGAACAAGACAAGGCAAGACACATCAGTGGAGGGGCCCCAAGCTCCTCAACCCCTATGCATGATGCAGGGGCACACAAAGTGAGGAGGTCCAGCTCCTTGGCCCCTATATCAGCAATATCAGCATGATGCCACCAATACAAGGTCAGGCCAACCTCCAACACTCCTCCTATTGGTGGCTAATTTACCTGGCAAGCACACCTAAGTCTTTGCATGACTTGTTACTCCCTCTAGCATTGAGCAACTTAGTAAGACCATCTGCAATTTATAACTCACCTGGAATCCATTTGATGACAATGAGCCCCTTTTTGACTGCATCCTTGATGTATGCCACACAAAGTGTGAGTGCCTTGTTTTGTTGCAGTCCATCCAAGGAGGGGACTCACTGTGCAGGTTGGTGATTGGTGTGGAGTACAACTCCTGCATTGCTGTTGCCAATGAGGCTGAGACCCTTGACAATGTCAATGAGCCAATCAATGTCATGGCATGCATTGCTGAGGGCCACCACTTCTGCTTCAGCAGTTGATGTCAATATGATCCTCTGCCAGCAACTCCTCCAAGCTATGGCTCCTCCAAATAGCATTAACACAAAGCCCAAAGTGGAGTATGGGTTCTCCTTCCAACTCCCAGCATGATTGGCATCCGAGTAAGCGAGTGGCACCCTGTTGTCGTTGTTAAGAAGGTACATTAGCCTGCTGAGGGAAACAATCCAATATGATAATACGTGCTGATATAAAAAGAATTGGGACACAGAGGAGGAGATCTACACAAAGATCAGGTACAACACAGTCCTGCTTGTTGTCAAGATGGATCATGAAGTAGGAGTGCTCCCACTTTAGGCATGTGCCACACATTTGTATATATATATAGCAGGGAGCTTGAGGTCCTCACCACACTCTCACTTTAGTCAATTGAGTATACATGTTTCTGTCTAAAACAGCAGGGTTAGGGTTAGGGTTCTAAGGGCGTCCAGCCGTGGGGCAGATGCATCTTGCGCTCCTCGAAGACGGTCCAATTTAATTTTGAAGACGGTCCATTTCAAAATTCAAGAAAGTCCAATACAAAATTCAAGACAGTCCAATACAAAATTTAAGATGGTCCATTTTAAATTTTGAAGACGGTCCATTACAATTTTGAAGACAGTCCATTTGAAAATTCAAGACAGTCCAATACAAAGTTCTAAGGGTGTACGGCTGTGAGGCAGACGCATCTTGTGCTCCTCGAAGACGATCCATTTCAAAATTCAAGATGGTCCAATACAAAATTCAAGATGGTCCAATACAAAATTCAAGACAGTCCATTTCAAAATTCAAGACAGTCCACTTCAAAATTCAAGACAGTCCACTTCAAAATTCAGGCCTTGGGGCAGATGTGTCTTGCCCTCCTGGAAGACAGTCCACTTCAAAATTCAAGACAGTCCATTTCAAAGGTCCAATACAAAGTTGATTTTCTGTGTGTGCTGAGCTGGGAAGATGATCAGCTACAGATCAAAGATGGTCCAATTGAAATGGAAGACAGTCAACTACAGTCTGGAAGACAGTCCAATTCTAATTTGATGTTGCAGCAACACAGGAACACAGTCTACCACACACTTGTCAACTACTATTCCAGCCATGCCACCAATCACCTGTCTGGTGTGCAGCTATGTGTCAGGGGTCTCGCGCCTGAAACCCAGGTCGGTCTGTCGAGATACTCAGTGACTATCAAACTGTGCGACAGCTATTGTCTCGGTATCGGTGACTATCAAGTTGTGCAGTGACAGCAGGTGGCATTCATTGTATATACTATTGTAGGTTTCGGCTGACCTCTGTGGACACTCCATTCAGGGGTAGCTCAGCATGATCAATATCAATGTTATGATGACACCAAGGTCTGGTGTGAGTGTTGATGATGATGAGGTTGATGGTGTTGGTGATGAGATTGGTGATGTCGATGATAATGAGGTTGATGGTGTTGGTGATAAGGTTGGTGGCGTCAACACGAGTGTCCAGTGTGTTGACTTGATGCTTGAAGTGATCCCTGGACCGCAGTGGACTACTGCCTTCGGTTCTATCTTGATCTGGACTGCTAACCTGCTATGGGCGCCTTTGGATGTCAGGTAGTGGTGATACAACACACACACTACGGTGAGGAGCAACCTTTGATGGATTGCTGCTATGCTGACTGAAACTAATATATACTTATGCTGAAGTGATAACTAGTTATGGTGAGTAGAGTGGATGAGGCTCCACTCGACCTTTGATGATGAGAAAGCATGGTTATATACCTCTTCACAGCATCGCCAGCGATGCTGCTCCTGCTCTCTCTCCAGAGAGTACCTTCTTCATCGAGTACTGTTCAGGGGCCTCTCCTGCTTGGTACCCCTGTGTCTCTTGAGTGGTGTCGACTCATTCGACACTGCTCCTCCTCCTCCTGACCTGGTGTTGACTCCTTTGACACTGCTCCTCTTCCTCAGGACCTGCTTGCCAGTGTCCTATGACTCTTGTCTCTCTCACCCCTGAGTGGTAACCATCCGAGCTTGGTCCTCCTCTTGGCTGTGCCTGGCCCTCCTCACATGTGGCTCAGTTCTCCTTTGCATGTGAGTCCATAGGAGTCCATGGTCTCCATGGAGACTGCACTACGACCATGCTCTCTACTGGTATCGACTAGGTCTTCGATACCTGCGCTCCTTCCATATGAACCAATGACCCTCCTGCTTCTTGAGCATCCAGGCCCATGACAGGTTGTTCAATGATTGGCACTACTTCACAGAGCGACTGTCAGAACAGTTTAACCCACGCAATGCTAGGATGGAGGCATACAACAAGCTGTTGGCTCTCAGACTCACAAGTGATGCTCCTGGTGCCGCCACATGTCATATAGAGCGGTTCAGAGACTTGGAAGGACAGGTCAACCTAGATGACAACGAGCTAGTAATTGATCTCTTCAGAGGAAGTCTCACTCGCAGCATACAGGAGAAGTTCAAGAGGAATCCACCTGGGAAGAGATGGGAGTGGTACCAAGAGGTTGAGGAGATCGATCGACAGAGGATGCTACTACAGCAGTCCTCGGCTAGACACTCACTCCCAAACACCACGTCACCTCCACTAAGAACTGGGTCTCGGCTAAATCAAAGTTCGATCCCCATCTGACAACCCACTCAACCTTATCCAGCTCGATCACCATCACAAGCAACTACACAAGCAACTATACAAAACCTAAACTGACCCCTTCCTCATCATCCCACCCAACCCTCAAAGCAAGGAAGCCCTGCTCCATCAGGTATCAACACCTGTCATGTATGCAAGGGTATCGGCCATTGGGCCAGAGACTGCCCCAGCAGGAAGGTAGACCCTCTTAGCTCTCGACCCATGGGACCAAAGGTTATGGTCACCACAGTAGACCCCTTTGAGGAGGCCACCGACTCAGGAGATGGCCACACAGGCAGTACCAAGATGGGTGACCCCAAGGCCATGGACCTCAGCTCATACCAGCAACCCATGTGTCATGGGCCTGGATGCTCAAGAAGCAGGAGGGTCATGGGTTCATATGGAAGGAGCACAGGTATCGAAGACCTAGTCGACACCAGTAGAGAGCATGGTCGTAGTGCAGTCTCCATGGAGACCATGGACTCCTATGGACTCACATGCAAAGGAGGGCCAAGCACAGCCACGAGGAGGACCAAGCTCAAGGAGCAGGCACAGCCACGAGGAGGACCAAGCTCAAGGAGCAGGCACAGCCACGAAGAGGACCAAGCTCAAGGAGCATGCAGATGGTTACCACTCAGGGGCTCGAGAGACAAGAGCCAAAGGAACTGTCACTGATCAAAGGAGGAGGAGCAGTGTCGAAGAAGTCGACACAGGTCATGAGGAGGAGGAGCAGTGTCGAAGGAGTCGACACCACTCAAGAGGCACAGGGGTGCCAAGCAGGAGAGGCCCCTGAGCAGTACTCGATGAAGAAGGTACTCTCTGGAGAGAGAGCAGGAGCAGCATCGCTGGCAATGCTGTGAAGAGGTATATAACCATGCTTTCTCAATCATCATAGGTCGAGTGGATCCCCATCCACTCTACTCACCATAACTAGTTATCACTTCAGCATAAGTATACATTAGTTTCAGTCAGCATAGCAGCAATCTATCAAGGTTGCTCCTCATCGTAGTGTGTGTGTTGTATCACCACTACCTGACGTCCGAAGGCGCCCATAGCAGGTTAGCGGTCCGGATATAGATAGAACCGAAGGCAGTAGTCCACTGCGGTCCGGGGATCACTTCAAGCATCAAGTCAACACACTGGACACTCGTGTTGACGCCACCAACCTTATCACCAACACCATCAACCTCATTATCATCGACATCACCAATCTCATCACCAACACCATCAACCTCTTCATCATCAACACTCACACCAGACCTTGGTGTCATCATAACATTGATATTGATCGTGCCGAGCTACCCCTGAACGGAGTGTCCACAGAGGTCAGCCGAAACCTACGATAGTATATACAACAAACGCCACCTGCTGTCACTGCACAACTTGATA